CGCAGGTAACCCACTTTGTTTATTTTTATTCCGCGAGTATTGCGTAGAATAAGCAATTTCTTTGCCCAACCCCTTTCTATTTATTCGATAATGGCAGTTTCTCGGTACTGTACGTTTCAATGGTAAATTTCAGGCGCTTATCGGGGGAGGATTCTTGCCCTTGACCTTTTAATTCTTGAGGGCGTGGGCTTTTTTTCCGAGGAATGACTTTGCAATTTGGAATTTTAAATTAATTTCATTAATTAACAGCCCCTGATAGTCATTTATACCGTCATTCATGTGATTTTATTCAAAATTATTTCTATTTTATTCATTCATTTATTTGTGCTTTTTTTTCATTCAACTGCTCTTAATCTTTCGAGAAAACTCCAACTTCTCGAATTTATAAAAAATAGTAGATCCCGAAAGGTTTCAGTAGCGAAGTGGTAAAACGGTTTAAGTCGACTCATCTCGTAGCTGAGTTTTCGAGGAATATCTCGGAATCTAACGGAGCTAGCGAAATTTTCATCTCTATCTTTTTTGCAGCTCTTAATTTTCTCTACAAAAAAGGTCATAAGAAAAATTTGGCCATCTCCCTTAGATTCCGAGATATTCATAGTCAAAATTTACTTGTCTCGTTTTACCACTTCGCTACTGATTTTCATTTATGCGTTTCGAAACGGTGGCATGAATGGAAATCTTTTGGGATCTTCTATTTTTTATAAATTCGAGTGATTAATAAAATCGTTTTAATGACCGTTAATGGCTGAGGAGCTGGAGTTTTCTGTAAATTTTTTTTGCAATCCAATGAATTTTCTTTTTTTTATGGCTCCGAAGGGATTTTTTCCTGGAGTCTTGTTTTAATATATTAATGTAAAGATAGAGGATATGAGAAAATAGTCATCACTATTTCCACAATCACCTTGCCACACATGAGTGCAAAGGACGAAGTCTTTCCAATTACTTGGTGTTGATGAATTACTTCCATTGAATCAACAGAATTTGGCACATTGTTAAATACCACAATTCAAGGTCACCGCACTCATCAGCATCTCTACCCCCCCACTCGGTAATGTCCGGGTAAAAATAGCCGGGGGATTGCTGAACGGGAATATCAGACGTTGGAGATGAGTGTGACTTCTTTGTATTATTGTAACCAGACAGAATCAAAACAGTTTCGTACTAATGGCTAAAGGCGACCGGATCATTTGTAATTCCTTCACATGAATATTTATTCACGTCACCAACTCGTCACATCGAATTTTTATCAATTGAGTTGAGAATAATTTTTTTTTGAGTGAGAAAATCATGAAATTTTGATAACAAAAATTTTTTTTGTGAAGTCAACGTTTTTTTTTATTTTTCATAAAATTCCTCAAATTTTCCGGTAATAATACTATCGGTTTTTTGTAATATATGGCAAATGGAAATTAATTATAATAGTTCGACTCAAAAAAAAATTACAATTTTATAAAATTTACAATAGTCGATGAATATATTTTTGAATAATTGGATTTCAGTTAAAAACTCTCCGAATAACAATTCGAAATACTATTTTATCACGCCAACCAATTAAAAATCATATGATTATCGGATAATTTCCTCCACCGAAATGTGAAAAAAATAATCTGGATTAAACGACTCGAGTTTTCATCAAGTTTATGCAGCTGATGCAGATTTATGCCCCAAGAAGAGAGATATGGCGCGCAGTAATAATGTGCAAGTTTCAGTGTTGACGTCGTAAGAACCGTCAAGAGTAAAAGGAGTAAAAATGGCGTCAGCTAGTCGGGTCATTGCTAAGTTCGAGGGAAAACTACTTGTTCCACCTCTCTCGTAACTCCCGTATTTTCACGTGTAACTTTCGAGAAATTTATTCACGTATCAGGGGACATTGCTCACTCCTTTCATTGGTTATCGTAATCCCATTTCAAGGGGGAAGGCTTCAACCTCGGGAAACCAATCGGATAATAGTCGAGGCACGTTCATCCGGGAATGTTGAATCTCCTGTTCCTTCAGCGTGTGAATCTGCCGGTAATAAAATTACTGGGAAAATTTATTCTTCAGAATTTCAATAATTAAGCTTAACTTAACTATTGGAATTTGAAAAATAATGAAATCATTGATAATTTGAATTTTCAATTGACTATTGAGTAAATACTTCTAAATTTCATTAAAGTATTTTCAATTATTGATTGATAAATTAATTCGGAATTTGAATATTCAATTGACGATTAATTTAATAATTTAAATATTGTTGGGTAATATTAATCAATGAACTAATGCGAAATTTAATTTAATTTAAATTGATGATTGTAAAGGTGTCTGTTGAGGGGGAAAGTCAATGGAAATTCCGTAATTTACGTGAATTTTTAAGTGAAAGTGAATATTAATTGCCAAATACTCTTAAATTGCCCGGGAATTCCTTGAAAATTCAGAGGAATCTGGGGTTCAAGGAGAGATTTATCCAAATTTGCCTCATTTTTCCTTAATTTTTCCGGAATAATTAATCTGAAATTGACAAAATTCCTTGAATTGTCAGTAAAAAATTATTAACAGCGTCCATTCCTCTATTTAAATTTAAAAAAGGCCAAGATAAAATACCAAATGTTCCTACCGAACATTTCTTCCCATTTTCCCCTCCGACAATATCTTAATATTCGATATTTGGCTGCACACATCAAATCGAAAAACCATAATTTTCCAAAAATCGTTCTCTCGCAGGAATTTTTTCTCCCAGATATGCTTAGCCACGTATCGCCTTTCACTCACCCCAAAATCTTTTATTAAATTCATCCATCCCTCCCATGAATATCGCAAATGTCACGGAGAAATTGGAGGATGTAAGATGAAAATTCTTATAGACGCAGAATGTTACCCAAAAATAATCTCTGTGCCATGTTGGATGGGTTTGGCACAGTGAACTACCGAAAATCACTACCGTGAATTCTTTCGTCATCCGCGAGGTCGCACGATTTAACATTACATTCAATGAAACAGCCAGTGAATCCTCAAAAAAAAATTCCTCTCATTGTTTTCTCTTCAAAATCATCATTTCGCTCCTTAAAACCCAAAAATTGATATAATTCAATGGAAATCCAGGGAAATTCCATCCGAAATAATTCATAAAAACGACAATCTGTCATGCTCCAGCGGTTTATAAGACATCGCGAAAAAAAACTTGACGAAATGAAGATTTTTTGATGATTTGAGGATTAATTATCATTTTTAATTGTGTGCGACGACAATACCAGCTGTTGGAGAATTCGTCACAGCAAACGAATTATTAATAAATCCCGCGATTACTCAGATTTATAAATAGATAAAACGCAGAAACAAACACTCGTTAATTCATGACGAATGAGTCTGCCCTGTTGACCAATAACCAGCTGGAGTAAAAAATAGTGATGAATCCGGGGGAATTGACCTGAATGCGAGAAAGAATAATGACTCGAGGATTGCGCCGGTGATCGGCCGTGGTAATTTACCGTTGAGCATTAATCGTGATAGAAACAACAGCTCGGTGACGTGTTCGCGCGACAAGATCCGACGATGATGATGAGAAGGCAGTTCGCAGTGATGAGACACCTGAAGAGAATAAAGTGTTCATCTAGCCTGATGAGGGCTCCGGGGGAGTTTTCAGTGTCTTCGCGCCCCTGTGAGATGAATCGTTTCATTACTCTATTAATTATTCATATTAGAAGTCGATGGGGGTCGCTGTTAGATGGGGACTCAGTAGGGAGCCAATAAACTACTTTAGTCATTAAGGTTGCATCGATTTTATTTGGAAATAGTAATGACCTTCAGCAGTTGGGACTGATTTGTTTCGCTTTTATGAGTCATTTGCTAAAATTCAATGATTGGAGAGGGACTAAGTGGTCAACTGACGGCTATAAAACTGGTGAAATGACAATAAATGTCGAAGTAGTGGATTTAATTGTTTTTTTTTACGCAAAACGGTTTAAGTTGAGAATGAGTTTTCGCTGTAAACGGCTGCAGAAAGGTCTTAACAAAAATTTGGAAACTGGTCGATAGTCAAAATCGCCACTGGATTCAGGTCGATGTATAAATTAAGGTCTCGCCCTCCCCCTGGTCTCACGATACCGTTCACATTCCCCATTTTTCAAGTGAAACATCATCATTCCAACGCATTCAACCTCATTTCTCCCAGCCCTATCTCCCGAAAAAAAAAATACCTAAACCACAACTCAATCGCCTTGGGTTTCTCCATTCAACCCTTGCTGCTCATTCTTCAATTTCACACAGCCTCTATCGAAACACCGAAGTGAGTGGAAAAATACGTGCACCGGTCAGACAAGGCGCTGGGTGAATCCACGATCTATCACCAGCGCTGACATAAGCATTAATATCCCAAGCACACACTTTCGTGTCTTTGCGGGTATCCGTGACACTTGTCGATTTACGAGTGCCATTATCGCACTCAATTTACCCCCTGTTTGAATAAAATAATATTCTCATAATATTTTCATTTTCCACTGGACAAATCATTTCACCGGAATGGGTTTGTTTTCGTCGGCTCTGTCGGCGCGAGTGGATTTATTCAGCTGTGAAGGGTAGACAGACAGGATGGGGAAATGCGAGGAGTAATTTCACATTGTATACGACTGTTGGGCAGTTTGACGTACTGCATAATGAAACCGCTGAATTGTTGCCCGGAGATATCGCCTCGTCGAACCAACGATCAGTAATTTTCATTATTTATCAATGCGTTTTTATTTTTATTTCGTGATGAAGGGATCTTTGCTGTGAAAACATCGTTAACAGTAGTGACAGTTTCCCATTTTCTTCACTCGTGGAATAAAAAACACTCGACCCTGACTCCAAACGCAATCACGAACGGAAAAATTTGATAGAAAAAGTCGAAACAAAGTTCTACTGTTTGTTTTTCTATGAAATGGACATTTTCTATTTAAAAAAATGCAGGAACCTCCGGAATTCTTCCGTGCGTGATAAATTCAGAAGCAATAGAAAAACCTCGTCTCATTTTTCTCCTTCTGTTCCAGATACGTCTGAACCAGCCCCTGAAATCAAAGGTAAAACCCAAGAAGTGATTATACGAAAATGGAATAACAGTGTTATCCGAAGAAACAAGTCCCCCGTCCGAAAACTTATATTTTATTTTTTCAGGATATTAAAATGCGTCTTGAAAACTAACCGTCTGCGCAAAAACCTCACCTCGTGATACAAAAGTTGAGAGAGAAGAGGAAAAAACTTTTGAATAAAATAGAGGAATGAGAGTGCAGCGGTAATTCCCAGAAGATTTTTCCAGTTGAGGTGGGTTTGATATCGAAGAGAGTGAGGCTGGCTAGGAGAGAGAGGCGGGAGCCCAAGGGGCTGGACAGACATCTACAACTCCACGGAGAGAGGTACGAAGATGGTTACGTGAAGCGACGTCAAAAGACTAGGGTAAAAGTGGCCGAAGTGGAGGAGGACGACGAGGAGGACGAGGCCAAGTTGATAATAAAATTGTCCCGAAAGAGGAGGAGGAGGAAAAATAAAGCCCTGAATAATTGAAGGCATGATGGAACTCGATTGGGGAATGGCGAATGTCACCACGGAATTGCCAAGTGATTGGACTAATTATGATTCAACAGTTGTTGATCTTCGTGGTGATGGTAATCTTACACTCGAGTGCAATGCTGAACTCAATGATGGGGCTTTATTCGAGTTTGTCACTAATGGAATTCTGCTGAATCTTGTTGGGCTTTTTGGACTCTTTGGGAATATCATCTCGATGATTATTTTGTCGAGACCGCAGATGAAATCGTCCATCAATTATCTGCTCATTGGACTCGCCAGGTGTGACACGGTTCTCATCATTGCCTCGGTAAGATTATTTTTCAGAGGATTTTTAATTTAATTGAGACCATTGTTTTTGGGGGATTGGTACACTGGTAGACATTTTTTGAAATTTCCCCAACGTTTCGCCTCCCAGGGAATTTACTCTTCCAAACCAATCAATTAAAAAATATATTTACATACGCGATACTCAAGCCATGAACAGATGCTCTGAAAAATTATTCATGCAGTCGAATTCCCAGATTCCCTTGAATTTTCAATTGATTGAAGAAATGATAGCCCATAAAAAATGAATTGGTATTCAAGTCTGCCTCAAGGTCTTATTCCCCAATGAAACATCAACTCTTCATCGAAGCAATACTCGATATTCAGAATACTTTATGGGAGATCACTCGTAAAATTCCGTCGAGTTATCTGTGTCGGTAGGATCGTTTGCATGCTGAATCGCTCAAAGCCCTTCGTGAGCTACGTCTGCAAATGAGAGTCTAGCGTGAATGTTTTGTGCTTGGCTTTCACGATCACCAGTAAATTCTGCATGAATGGGGGTTGATCAACGAGACTTGTGATATTTACAGTTCACTTATTTCTCCTCGTTTCATTGATTTTCGGTTCGTTTCGTGTTCTGCAAAGGGGGATGCGAGTATTTTCGAGGAATTTATTCGTGTACAGTGATGAATAGAATTGAGCAGAAAGGGCTGACAGTTCAAAGGGATTTTTCCCTCATACTCGTAAAATTCACAACTGCTGGGAATAAATGGACTGATAAGAGAGCGAAAATCCACTTCAATATTTCCAGCCACGTAAAAGGGACTCACAATTGTCCAATATCTCGGAGCAAAGCGGAATTTTCGGGGCTTAGGGAGAGGGAAATTTGAACGCAACCGAAGAATGTAGCAAAACCTCAAAGCATTTCCCTGTTTACCCCTGGGAATGACGTGCATTCCAGTTGGGGTTGCGGATATATTTTTTATTTGACGATTCGAGATAGGGGAGAAAGTGTATAGACTCTGCGGCAGTTTACTTTTATTGGAAATCTATTTGACGGAGTTGAGGAGAATTTAATGGCAATAAAGTGCTAGGTTTGCGCGGTGGGGGTTGTCTGTAAATTCATCCGGGTTCGTGCGAATGCACCGAGTGTATGGTTTTATGGGCTATTATGTGGGCGGGAGATATCGGTGTGGCCTTTGAAATTCACAAGTCTCGTTTTTCATTTTAATTCGACGGTATTGCGAATTCGGGGGAATGAGCCCAATCTGTGTCCCCTATCTTAACTTGTTAGGGTTGTTTCGGCGTCGAGTGCATGCGAAATACTCGATTGCATGCTTGAGGATTTTTTATTCTAGTCGTTTTATTTTATTTCATTTTATTTTGTTATTTTTTTGGCAAAAAAAAATTTCGTGAATGGTTTAGGGGAATTTCCCAGGGGAGCGATATTGAATTTAATTCAGGGGAAAGAAAATGGGCAAATTCAGTGAAATTTATGCCATTTTATTTTATGTTGTAATTTTGGTGTGAAAAAATTGAAATTTGATGAATAGTTTAGGAGAATTCCCAGGGGAGTGACATTAAATTCAATTTAGTTAGAAAATAATAAAATTATGAATTTTCAAAGACGAAATTCCCTGAAATTTCAGTGCAGCTGTCACTTGATAAAAAATTCAACTCTAAATAATCAATTAAAACGAAGTTGCAGCTGTTTGTAATAAATGTTTTAATAAATTCAGTTAAATGTATTCCATTTCATTTTATGTTGTAATTTTGTTGTGAAAAAATTGAAATTTGATGAATAGTTTAAGAGAATTCCCAGGGGAGTGACATTAAATTCAATTTAGTTAGAAAATAATGAAATTATGAATTTTCAAAGACGAAATTCCCTGAAATTTCAGTGCAACTGTCACTTGATAAAAAATTAAACTCTAAATAATCAATTAAAACGAAGTTGCAGCTGTTTGTAATACTTGTTTTTATAAATTCAGTTAAATGTATTCCATTTCATTTTATGTTGTAATTTTGTTGTGAAAAAATTGAAATTTGATGAATAGTTTAGGAGAGTTCCCAGGGGAGTGACATTAAATTCAATTTAGTTAGAAAATAATGAAATTATGAATTTTCAAAGACGAAATTCCCTGAAATTTCAGTGCAACTGTCACTTGATAAAAAATTAAACTCTAAATAATAAATTAAAACGCAGCTGTTTTTAATAAAAAAATTTCAGCTGTAAATTCATGCAAAATTTCAATCTAACTCGCGTTACTTTCCGCTGAGCAGGTGCTGATACACGGTCTGCCGGCGATTTATGCATTCACCGGACTCCTATTTGACTACAAATTCGGTGTATTTCCCCAAATAGTAAGATACTTATATCCACTGTCCTGCATGGCCCAGATGGTAACGGTGTACCTGACACTGACAGTAACAATGGAGAGATACGTTGCTGTGTGTCATCCACTGCGTGCAAGGTCATTCTGCACATACGGACGAGCAAGAATAGCAGTTCTCTGCATCGTCATTGTGTCGATTATTTACAATATGCCAAAGTGAGTGGCGTTCAATCCTCATTTAAGCATCAGCCATTTTATCCAAGGCATTAACGATAAATTTTATTCTGTCTCTACTCTTACTTCTGGTTCAAGGTTCTGGGAGGTAGACCTCGAGGAGGAAATCCACTGGAAATACAATGTCACTGTGTACTGCGTTGTCCCAGCTATTTTACGATCAAGCGATATTTACATAACTATTTATGTGAATTGGATGTACTTTTTCGTGTACTATGCCTTTCCATTTGTCGCCCTTGTGGTGTTCAACGTCGCCATTTATAGAAGGGTAAGTCACTTATTCAATTTATTTATTTATTTTCATTTTTTTAAAGAATTTTTTCCATAATTCAGTAACGAAGCGTACTATTGGCCGGTTTTCCATGAATATCTCGAAATCTGAGGGAGATAGCGAAATTATTGTCATGACCTTTTTTGTAGCCCTCATTTCGCTCTACCAAAAAGGTCATGACGAAAATTTTGGTATCTCCCTTAGATTCGGAGATATTCGTCAAAAACTCAGCCTCGATTTTTAATTTCCATTGAGAAAAATTGGAAATTTAATTTTTCAAGCAACACTCTTCATTTTTTATCACTTTAGTTTATTTTTTCCTTGTTACACTCGATGATGGGTTCCTTGATACAGATAGATAACAGTAAGAAATGTCGAACTAGTCAATGTATATTAATTTAACGAATTGATAACCCAGTTTCCATTTTCCCACGGGATTTCCCAGAAAATGTAATACGTACCAAGAGCAAACTCGAATAGATATTGCCCCGAAACGACTCACCCAGACTTTAGAAGGAAATTTCTTCGCCTTGGAACGGAGTCAAACTTCCAGCTCATCGGGTTCTGCCATCAAATTTTTTCGCCGAGCAGATACTTTTCCCCTTGCTTTTAGATAGTTCGAAGGTAGAAGCAAACTGTGAGGGGCTGCTATGTGGGCTCTAGATTACTGGAGCAGACAGCTTTTCCAACATTTTTCACCAAAGAATTTCTCTCTTGATGATGGCATTCATTAATTATCAGTAAATAACTGAGTTGAGTGTGAAGAAAAGATACAATTTCCAGGACGATTCAGTTTTTTGGGGATATCTCGTAATCTGAAGGAGATACCGAAATTTCCAATAGAATCTTTTTTGTAGAGCAAGCTGAGCCCTACAAAAACACTCATAACGAAAATTTCGCTATCCCTCACAGATTTCGAGATATTCCCAAAAAACTAATGAGTAAAAATTCCGCATTTCGTTTCACCCTCAAATTACTGATAAAAGGATTAAAAAACCTTCTCCTTCCCTTTAGGAATAAAAAAATCATTAAGAATATTTCTTCGAAGACTCCCTCACGCCTTGAGAAGCAACCGAGAAAAATCTTTCTCAGAAAATAAAAATAAAGTCAATTAATTTCGGTTCAACTGATGATGAATTCACACTTTAAACTAAAATGAACACGATATAGTTTTCGTTCTACCCCAGCTCCGAAAATGCCACAGTGCAACTACTGACAACTGAGTAAGGGGTGTGCACCCCGCGTGGGTGCACTTTGGCAACATATTTTTCTCACTCCTCTCTCAGGCCACAGGCGCCGGAGCCGGAGCTTTTCCGTCGAAAAGTATAATGGTGACTGGTCGCCGTGGGTTGGAGAGGATAGAAAAATGTAGCCAAGAGTAAAAAAAGCAGAGAAGAAGTTGCAAAGAGAAAAAGAGCGAGCGAGAGGGGAAACAATACCCTTTTGTCCCCATTTCCCCTCTCGTCTATTAGAACAATGGAAAAATTGAAAAACTTCTGGATTAAAAATAATTTCGAAATTCACGCCGATAAAAATAGAGGGAATTTATCGCAGCAACGATAATCCGAATTTATTACCCCTTGTGTTTGTTGGTTTAGCAGTTTCTGAAAAAATATTTTGTTGAAAACAACAATTTTGGGGTTTAGAAGAATTTTATTGCCTCGACATTTCATGGGGACGTGAAAAATAAATAAACAAGTGAATAAATGTTGTTTCCCTCAGAATATTGTCAATTTATTTTCGCTAATCAATTGGCAATTTGCTTTCAATAATAGTCAATTTTGACTGTTGACTAGTTTTCAATGAATATCTCGGGATCTAAGTGAGATAGCAAAATTTTTGTAATTACCTTTTTTGTAGCCCTCACATGAAATATCTATTAACACCAAACAACGCCTATTGGAGAATGTTCCTAAGGACTTTCTCAATCCCCTAAAAAATCACCAACTCTACACCAGCTCTACAAAAAAGGTCATGATGAAAATTTCGCCATCTCCCTCAGATGCGGAAATATTCCTCAAAAACTCAACTGGGAGATAAGTCAACTTAAACTGGTTTACCACTTCGCTACTGAATTTCTTTGACGATGAATTTTAAATTGAATTCAATGATTCATTCAATGTCGAATTTAAAATTAGAGGAATATAATGCTTCCATTCAGAAGCAAAAATAGACTTGAAAAATTATCAATTTATAATTGAATTATTTTCCAGGTCAGAAAAGCAAACAGAGACCTTCAACAACTGTCTCGGCACCAGCGACGCGAGATAAACCTCGCGACAATGCTCCTCTGCGTAGTAATAGTCTTCATAGTGTGTAATGTCCTTCCATTAGCGTCAAATGTATTCGAAAAATTTCAAGTACTGCCACCAGCCTGGCTGGTACAAGCTGGTAATCTTCTCGTAACAATAAACAGCAGTATTAATTTCATCGTTTACGTTATATTCGGTAGGAACTTCAAACGATTATTCATACGACTGTTCTGCAGCTCCAAGTTCTTTGGGGCTGGCAGAGACAGCCCGGAGTTTCAAACTAATGATGAATCAATGGTAACAAACACTACGAATATCGAACTGAGAAATTCGATACGAAGATGTCACCTGCAAAGATCTAACACAACTGTCCAGAGGAGTAATCACTCTAGTGTACATTTGAATGGTAGCACGAGACAGAGTCCTTGCGTTTATTATCCAGCTAGGAGTCCTGTCAGGAGTCCAAGTCAAATATCGTCTAGGTCGTATGTCAATAATGGCTGGAGCAAGAGTAATAATATTGAATCGACACTTAATTAATTAACAATTCGTGACCGGTCAGTTTTATGAGAATATCTCGAAATCTAGAGGAGATATCGAATTTCTTATCAGAACATTTTTTGTAGAGCAGAGTGAGACCTACGAAAATGCTATTTACGGAAATTTCGCTATCTCTCACGGATTTCAAGATATTTTCAAAAAACTAATGAGCAAAAATTATTTAATTAAAAAATCTTCTCTTTAGGGATAAAAAATTGATTTAGAATATTTCTCAACTGTAATGGAGTTTTCGGTCGACATATTGTGGTCGAGGACTTGCCCACGCGTTGAAAAACAACTGAGAATCCTAACTTTTTCATCGATACCTCGGTGACTCCTAACGATAGAAAAATAAAACTCAAAAAGACTGGTATGAGAGGTGAGTTGAGCGAAAAATTGGAGACCTCCCCAGATGTCACGTACTTGAGACTTCCTCGCGCAAATATATCCGATTTCATACGTATGAACAGTAAGTTGAGAAGTTTCTTACGAATGAGACGAGACACCTACGAAGAACTTTGATGCTGTCCTGGGGGAGACGTTTCTCCTCGCGGTATATGAGGTTCGGGGGAAAGATAAACAATTTAGTGCGGGAGGCATCGATACTCATTAAATTAATTGTGTATATGCAGGGTGGATACAAATTGAGGATATCCCGGGGGGAGAGGCTTCGCGATCGAATGGCTTTCCGAAAATTCAGTGGTAAAACGGTGAAGTCGATTTAGACCTCAGAGCTGAGTTTTTTGGGAATATCTCCGAATGTAAAGGAGATAACGAAATTTTGGTAATGACATTTTTTGTAGAGCGAATCGAGGGCTCCAAAAAAGAAATTAACAAAAATTTTGCTATCTCCCTTAGATTCCGAGATATTTATCAAAAACTGACCGATAGCCAAAATTGACTTGAACCGTTTTACCGCTGCGCTGCGGAATTTTATTTCTCGATAATAAATTCTGTGGGAAGAACTATTGCTCTTGGATATATTTGTAAATATGAAGAACGATTTTTATGGTGAAGTGATCAAACGTGATTAATTCGACGTGGAAATTCGGAAAATTGACTTTTTTTCATGTTTCATCACTTCTCTGCGGGAATTAAACTCTTGTGTTGTAAATTTATTTAACTAGAATTGGAGAGAGTGGTTTGAACTGAGAGAAATAATGTTCTTGTAAAATAAAGCTAAACGATTTGTACAGAATAAAATAAGATAACACGAGAGGACATGTAAAGAGACATTTGAATAGGTATTGAGAAGAAAAAATACCTCAAAGTTTTGATGTGATAATAGAGAATGGGATTAAGAAGGATAGGACTAGTGAAGAATGGCCTTATTTCGATTTTCAAGTAATTTGGAAGTGAAGAAACCCATTATTTTCAGATTTACTGAAAAATTCAAGTAATAAAAAAATTAAAAATGAATTTTAACTGCAAGATAGGCTCCTGACGAGTGAAAATACACCACTGTGTAAATAATAAAATCAATATTCATCACGTATGATAATCAACAGTACCTCACTATGATTTCCAGAATCATAAACCCCTGAGTATTTTTTTCACATGGAAAACACAGGTGACTAATCATTACTGTAAACTGATTAATGAAGGAGTAATCACTCTAGAGGATAAATTAAACTAGTTAATTAATCTCTGCCATCCTACTCAATTATAAGCGTTCAGTGTTTAAGATATGGAAAATAAAGAGGGAAAAAAAGACGCTCTCATGGCTGTAACACGAAATTAATACGTATTCTAGTCATGAATAATTCTATCAGGATAATTATCTAGGGTAATCAATTGTATGAAGTGAAAATTCGCAATGAAGAGGTGAAATTAGACGCTCCAATTCCCCTCGAGGATGAGCTTTCGACGGTTATTTTGGAAAAAAAATAATCAAAAACTCGTCCTGGAGGTGACTTTGGCTCGCCTCATTCCGCTATTTCGCATCAGAGCTGGGAAAACATGTAATTTAAATTTAAAAAACGAAGTAAATATCAGAAGACGAAGAAAATTACCTCATATTAACGGAAATAGTCAAATAAAATGGCTAATTCGTCACGAAATAATTCCGAATGCTATTTCCATTTTATTCTGACGCAATAGCAACCAGCTCTGTGGAATATTAATATTCTCCATGAATGAAAGACGATAAAGATTTTTCATCAAGACAGTATTGGCTTATCAAATCTGCAATAATTATCGATAACTATCGCTTTGAAATTTATTCCTGCGGTCCGAAAACTTTTCGATCTTCAAATTCATCTTGATAAACTTTAAAATCCGCAAGATTCGTAATTAGTAGGAGACTAGGGGGCAAAATGGACCCGTGAAAATGTTTTTTTTTTATGTCAAAACCTCATTCAACTATTGATGGAATGTAACGAGCCTAGATTAAGCTCAAGTGATGAATTTATTCCTGAGTTGTGAATATAAAAAATGAGTGGAGTGTCCATTTTGCCCCACCCTCCCCTACGCAAAAGCATTTAGTTATTCAGAGGTGGAATAGAAGTATATCTACATTTTTTTACAATCGAATGAAAATATTTATTCTTCCTTTACTATGATAGTTGTATCTCAAAGTTTATTGTAAATAATTATTATTAAATATGAAAGCAAGATCATCGTTGTTTGGTTTATTTAATGGAAAATGTGATTTTATTTGAAGAAACTAGTGCAAGAGCTCTGAAATTAAGGTAAGTTCACTCTAATTACGAATATTTTAATAAATATGTCTTTGAATTCAATGGAAATTGGGAAATACTCATGAGAAGAAGGTTTAAAATAATTTCTTCATTAAAACGTTTACAAAACGTCATAATAGGAAATTAAATAAAAATTGTTTAATTGAAATTTATGGCGATATTCGTCAATTTACATTAAATTATTGAGAAAAGAATAGCTGGATCATCTCCCAAGTGTAAAAATAACGTAATAATTCAGTAAAAACGAAGAATAACATTCTAAAATCCTAAAATCTCACGACGAAATCACTACGTAGACATTCAAATCTTTCTTCTTCATATTAAAAATATTGAGTGGAGCATGGAAAAATAACAACAAATACGATACTTACCTAATAATTTGTTTGCAGGGAGCAGAGAATAATTCCGAAGATATTATTAACAAAAAACGAAGAATGGAAAGTTCCCCATTAAAACGTTTACAAAACGTCGTAATAGAAAACGAAATAAAAATTGTTCAATTGAAATTTATGGTGACATTCGTTAATTTACCTTGAATGATTGCGAAAAAATAATTTTATCTTCCCCCAAATGTAAAAATAACGTAACAATTCAGCAAAAACGAAGAATGATATTCTAGAATCCTAAAATTCTTCCTTCTTCACATTAAAAATATTGAGTGGAGCATGGAAAAATGACAACAAGTACGATACTTATCTAATAATTTATTTGAAGGGAGCAGACAAAAATTTTGAAGGTATTAACAAAAAAGAATAATCGAAAGTTGTTACATAAGTCAACACTCGACCAGCTACAGCTTCATGACAGGTATTCTCCCTCGATCTACTTAGCAGCATCAGGCTGTTTGGTTTTCTTTGGTTTCATGACATTGTAGGCGATGATGAGGCCCAGCGTGCCAAGTGTCACCTTGGCTACCTGAATTTTTCAACAATTCGAATCAAAACGTCGTCTTTCTGGGGGTAACCGAGAGATAGTGGAGGTTAGCAAACCGGTTCTGGGTACTCACGTTGGCTCGGCCAGACATTGTCGTGCTGTTGAGGTATTTGTGAATTCCAGTCAAATTCTCACCCTCGTGTGCCATTTTTCCTCGATTATTTTATTTAATTAACACTGGAGATGCGAGATTTATTCGTGCGACACTCACTTGTGGTTTCCGAATGCTTTTTATTGCGCAGAAAAGCACATGCAAGCACATGCGCGAGAAAAATAAGTTGCGGGGGCTTTGACAGATGGCGGGAGGGAGATTCCCGCTGAATTTCAAATAATTTTAAATTATCGGCGAGCCCGGGGCAAAATGGGCAACTGACTATTTTCAAACTTCAATTATTTATTGAATTTTTCGTTAAAAACTGTTCATTATTTATTATTATTTTTATTCATTTATTATTTTTTATTATTTGTTATTTTTCTCATGTCTTTTACTATACTTTTTCTTTATTCTAACAATCCTAAAGATTTAATTTCGCTGTAATAAATTCACTGTTGAGCTTGAGATCGTTTTCGCCGCCAGTAGAGAAACCCCAGGACAACTCCGAAAATAGTTAATTTTGCTACCTGCGAGGTAGTAAAATGTTATAATAATATTATATATAAAATAATAGTATATATAATATGATTATTATAATATTATAATGAAACCCAATTTTCTGCGATTAATTCTGTGAAATTTACGTACGTTCGCACGTCCTGTGATGGTTTCAGAGTTGAAATGTTTTGTGAAACTGTATTTCCTGAGTTTATCCCGAATTTCTGGGGGGATAATGGGCTTGGGAACAGTCTTTTCGTCTTTCGAAGTCGGGGTGAACTTCGTGGACTGCATGTCTGGGATTTTTATCTCTGATAAGGGCAATTTCGGGGGCACTGGCTTCTCCACAAAGGAATTCTGGGGAAGACAGTTTCCTTTTAATCATCTTATTATTTGAGAATAAAATTCCCTGTTTTAGGCAAAACTAAAATTCTATTTTAGTTCATTTGGACTGTTGGGCAGTTTTCAACAAATATCTCGGAATCTAAGGGAGATATTTAAATTTTTGTCATGACCTTTTTTGTAGAGCGAATTGAGAGCTACAAAAAAGGTCATAACGAACATTTTGATATCTCCCTTAGATTCGGAGATATTCGTTAAAATCTCAGATAAAGGCTAAGTCGACTTAAATAGTTCCACCGCTTCGCTGATTTGAATTGCTAATTAAAATATTCATGATTAATTATTATTCCTGAATTATTACGCATCATGAATGGAGTAATATTTAAATTTGGGTTTTCAACTCCTAGATTTATTTTTAAATTATTTAATTTCATTATTCAACATATTTAAAATCTTGATATTTTAATTAAATAGTTTTTTTACCTTGAAGGCATCCACGAGTTGCCTGCACGCATTCATAATCCCCTCGTTACTCTCACTCAAAGTATTCTTGAGGTTTTGTTTGAACGAATCAAACTCCGGCTTATTCAGGGAATCAGTCAGATCTCCAGTGGTTTTTTTCAACTCGTTCAATTTGCCCTCCGAGAATTTAATGAACTCGTTTAATTCCTCTACAGTCGCGACACTTTTCTGCAATTTCTCTTTCACTTCGCTCATGGACTTTGAATATTCTTCGAATAACTTTACAATGGAGGATTTGTACTCCGAGAGAGTCGTCTTTATTTTATTTAAATCCTCCGCCGAGTAATCCTTGAGGCCCTTCACCTCGTGTTCGAGGAAATCCTCAATAATTTTATAGATTTTATCGAATAGTTCTTTTACTTTCTCCTCAATTGCGACAAACATTGTCACTGTCTCTGGGATTTTTGGTTTGAAGAAGTCTCGGTAGTAGTCTGATTATATTTTCAAAATTTAATTATGAAATTCGCAGAATGACTTGATTTTTTTGTATTAAATTGTCTTAAGGATGAATGATTCCAGAGGAAATTTGAAGAAACAGATTTTTGACTGCAATTTGTCAATTCAGTTTAAGGATATTATTTTTTAAACATTCGTAAACTAATTTTTTAAAGCATGAAATCGATTTCTACAAGAATTTTAAATATTAATAAATTTATTACGATTCTCACAATTTATTTTTATGATGGAAAATTAATTGCGTATAAATTATTAATAGAAAATGCTTGTAAATTTCAAAAACTGCAATTTTCAACGTAAAAACGTCAACTTTCAAATTTTTTCCAACGGTTCAATATCAGAATTCAAATTTAAGCCTTCAAAATTTAAATAATAAAATCATTACATGAAAAATGAAGGCCCTGCTGTTCGACTACAAAAGTAAAAGAGCATTTCACTGGAGAAAAAATATCCAGAATACTTGAATATTCTTAATTCATAATTTTCTCCCAAATAACACTAATTTTCGAGATGAATCATTCAATAAAATTATCAATAATATGCCATTCCCTCAAAGATCCTCTGAATCTTCATCAAATTAACCAAAATCTACTCACTTTTTTGTTTTAGCCTCGCGAACAAATTCCGGAAGTAATCGTACAACCCGCTAATATCAGCCCCAGCCTCTTCCTCCCCCTTCCTCGCACTCCCCTCTCCCTTCCCTTTTTTATTTTCCCCATCAACCATATTTCACCGTCTCCAGAAAACAGAGACTCCCATCCCTCTCACTCCCAACCCACTCCTCACTTGTTCGCCTCCCCAGGAAAGGACAAATGAAACAAAAAAAAGTTCAAACCCTCTCCGAAAAAATTCATTATGTCATCTTTATTGAAGTCTCAACAGCTTTTCCAGAAAAATCTCTCAGATAAAAAAAACTAAACACATCTCTCAGTCGTCTATAAACTAAAAAAACTCAATTTTAATGAAAGCTATCACTAATGGAACGTCAAACGTCAAAGCATCAATCATTGTTCCCCAGGAACAAAACCTTAAATAACGATAATGTCTTATGCTCAGGAGCCCGATTCCTCCTCTCCCTAGACACCAGCTGTCTAGTCCTCTGACCCCTCACAAAAAATAATCCGAAAATAATAACGTTCGTCCACTCGAACTCTCTTCACGAAAAAAAACCAAAACTTGGAGTGACTGAATCAAACTTAAGCCAAACCTCAACGATTCATGCACCTGACGACCTCCTTGCAAGCGCCGAAAATTAGTGACAATTCTTGGAGAACGGGGTGATCAGTGACCCCATAGTTAGCTGTGTACCTCTTGAGATCCTCCTGGGACACGAGGCCAAAGGCCCTCAACATCTTGCAGAGCACGATATTAACAGGCACGAGGTAGAACGCGTTCATCTCAGTCTCCGAGTGCTGCTCACCCCCCCTGCCCTTCCTCCGGATGATCTCGAACATCCTGGGGTTCTCCTCCCTCCTGATGACCCTGAAGCACGTCTCGTCCTGGCGTTCAACGAGAATTTTCCTGATGGGCAGACTGTCAGTGAAGTTCGTGAGAGCCTGCCTGAACTGGTCGATGGTGATCCAGCCAGCCCCATCCATGAAGAAGATGGAGACTGAGCACCTCGAGAGATCGACCTGAAGGCAGTCCGGTCGCTTGACGGATCCACTCCCCTGAGTATCCGAGGAAACAGCCAGAATTGAGTTCGAAGAGTTCAATTCACTACCCTCAGTTAGATTTCTGTTGATGTCCCTTCGTAATGTCCTCGGAGGGACAATGGGTCTGAACCCTGGTGGCACAGAGAGACGTCTAGACCCTTCCGAGGGTTGCTGATCCCCTGGAGAGCTGCAGTTTCCGTTCTGCTGAGCTGATAAATAATTGCCGTTCCTCCAGGCCTCGATGTCAGACGTGTTCAGGCACTGGGTCACGTTGTTATTGACCTCTGGCAGCGTGTCATCGCCTATTCTCGACAGATTAGAGATGCTAGAGTGCCTCTTGGTGCGAGGGGGAATGGGTGGAGGCGCCTTCTGCTCGTTATTCTCTGGAAAAGGGCAGGTGGTTGCTGACATCAGATCGTTCTTGAAGGGGTTGGTGTCGGGGAGGTCGAACGCTGAGTACATGGACTCGTCGCACTCGTCGAGGATCCTGATGGAGCTGCCGGAGTGGAAGGATCCGAGGTCCTCCACGTCGTTCTCCTCCAGAGGCTCCAGGGTCCCCTGGTCCCCCTGACCCTCGACAGTTCGACAGGCCTCTGAGGAGTCCTGGGAGGTCCTCAGGGACTCCTGGAGCCCCCCGAGCCCCTCCTCGGACCCCAGGGGCCCACAGGCTACGTCACGTGTGCTAGAAAACGACTGATCAACTCCATTAACTGTCACTGTTCCATCTTCACTCGCATTTTGGCTCTTCTGGCCGAACAGGAACTTCCAGGAGCGTTTGGGTTTCTCCGGGCAGAACTCCTCCCAGTCCTCGAGGATTGTTTTCTTCAGGGAGAGGAGGGACTGCACGTCGACCATCGACACGTCCACTTCCTTGAAGTTCAAGGAGATGAGACTGTCGATTGCGCCCATCAGCTGCGCTCCTCGCTCAGCCAGTCGAGTCGAGGCGATCACACCCTTAACCACGAGATTCTGAATTATGGGATTGTTTCCTTCGTTTCCTGGAGCCGCCTGGGGCCTCTCCGGGGCCTCCTCCGTCCGCTCCCAGTCGTAATCCTCGGTGTATTGGTTCAAGTCGTTGGGATCGATTTTCAGTCCCTGAAAGCAGAGGGGGAGAGCCATAAATAACGAGACCACTCAGTTTTTCTCTCATTTTTATTAGTTTTTATAAGATAACGTACATTTCGTTTAAAGTGAAGGAAATTAATTTCTTCGTTGTCTTTTCGTTAGATATTTTTACCTAATTTTTTTATCGTTTTTTAGAATGTTTTACATTAGTCTAGTTTGCGGAGTGAAATAAATTCATTCTCCGATCGAGACTCAATCGTTGTAACAAATTCCTAGATATTTTTGTCTAAATCTTATTCTTCATTCTACATTTTTCAGATAGTGAATTCATCCGCAAAAAAATTCTTTTCTACTCAATGAAATAGCCACTGATAACAAAGTCATTTGACACTAGCCCCAATCGTCAGTATCAAAATTAAGGAAAATAAGACGAACGATTCACTAGAATCAACTGAATAAACTCTGTCAATGCCAACAAAATTTGAAAGAAAAGAGGAAAGAGCATAATTAATCTGAAAGTGTCGAAACACTTACGATTGAGTCGTCAGTGTCTTCAGGAGATCTGTACACCTCTTCGACATCCCCATCATCTGTTCTAATCTCATTCGATGAATTTGGGTTAATCATTTTGGAACTGTCTTCATTGATGACATCCTCTTCGTCATCTCCATTCATCATTATTTCCCTAAACCTCCCGATCTGTGGGATTACCCCATAAATCTTATTTTCGCTAGCAAAATAAACATCGAACTCTTCGTCATCAGAATTAAAATCTGCGGCATCGAAAACAGGAATTTGCGAATTATCTAAAGGGACATGATTTGTCAACAGATTCTTCTCATTATTAATCAATTCCAAGCTCGAATTACCTTCTCCCAAATTCTCGTTACTATTCTCATTATTATAGCTGTTATATTTTGATTTTAATGTGGAAATTAATGAATTTTCAATTGACTCTGTGGGAATGATCTCGTTATTACTCTTCTCAGTTGTCTCGACGATCTCTGGAACTTCATCACGACCGATTGTTTCAATTTCTTCGATCGATTTGTTAATACTCTCTTCGTCATTGGACATCTCGCTCGATTCGTCGTCCGAGTCCAGCTCGGAGGATTCCTCAGGACTATTTCTGTGGAGGATTTGTTTCAAGAAGCGAGGAGACTTCTTCAGGAGCTCGGCGTACACCGAGACCATTTCCACCCCGTCACTATCTTCTGAGGATGATAACTCTTCGATGAGAACTCTGCGGTTCTTCGGAGTTTCTTCAACAGGCGGAGAATTGTCTTCATCGCGATTATCTTGACTGGTGTCATTTGATTCTTGTTTGGGTGAAAGAACTTCTTCGATGAGTGCCCTGGGGGTTGAATTGTCTTCATTCTGAGGGGTTGAGGAATTAATTTGGGGAATCGCCTCGAGTGATGGGGAAAATTTAATTTCCATCGCTTCTTCTTCTTTTTCTTCTCCTTTTTCATTAATTCTCATGTCTTCCTCTGGCAATTCCCCATCAACAGTTGCTTTCACGTCTGATGACTCCACAAGACCACTCGGAGGGCTCAATATTTCAGGCCTTGACTCATCATCCTTCTGAAGGCTTGATGAATTAATTTTTGGAATCCCCTCAAATAACTCGGAAAATTCTTCTTTTCCTTCCTCTCTGACTTCCCCACTTCCTCCAGCTTCTCCATTAATTACCCTGCCTTCATCAACTCCCCCTTCCACCCCCTTCACTTCCTCATCATCACCAGGACCCCCTGACGACTCCACAGGGCCATTCGAACCCGCCCTCTCACCTAAAATATCTCTACTTATAACAACCCTCGAATACTTCAACTCCTTCTTATTATTCCTCAAAGCCTGTTTAATAATCGGTATAATCATCTCATGTTTAATTTCCCCCAGTTCCTCTGCTGGAGCATCACCACCCACAGATGCATCATCAAACAGTTCCCTAGTCTCAACGATCTTTCGTTTGGGCTTGGGAATGCTCTTCAGGAGCTCCCCCTTCTCCACCGGTTTTGGCTTTGGATTTTTCTCGATGAGCCTGAAAGTCTCCCAGTCGATGACTCCACTTTGGAGGATCTGCCTCTGGGGTTTCAGGACTGTGTCGAACTCGGACAGTGCGTCGTCATCAGTGGTGGCTGGTGGTGCCAGGTGCAGAGGTGTCCTTTCGACCTCGAGAGGGGCCTCAGCTTCACCAGCTGGTCTGTGGGGCTCTGGGGGAATTTCTTCTGGGGTCAGGACTTTCTCCTCGACTTCGGGGGGAGTTTCGACTTGCTCAGCTGGCCTGTGGGCCTCTGCGAGGACCTCGTCTGGGGCGAGACCTCTCTCTTCCCATTCAGGAGTAGATTCCTGAGCAGAGGGGACTCCCAATCGTGGCATGTAGCCAGTCTCCACCCAGTGGCCAATCATCTTCATGGCGGTTGGGTTGAGGTGAGGGATTTTCTCGAATAACTCATCCACTGGGGACATTACCCCATTCATTGGAGGCATCGATACCCCATTTACTGGAGGAATTACCCCATTCATATGGGCAACATCTGGGACTTTTTCTACTTTCACGTCAGGTAATTTAAGAATTGGCTGCCCACAGGTGGGACACTTCACTCCCCGTTTGGCTGACGCTTTCTCCAAAAGTTTAGCTCTCAAACTCTCGACTTTACTGACTCTTTTCTTATTGTTCGATAATTTTGATACATCAACTGGGGGTGGGGGCTTCACATTTGGGAACAATTTTTTTATGGCTTTACAGGGTTTTTCGTAATGCTCAGTGGGTTTACAGGTCAGTGAATGTTTGTATGGGAAATTTTTGGGCCTGATACGAACCATCGAACCGTGCACAGCGAGTCCATCGTTCACCAGCCATTCGCCGATGTTCACGTCCTCGTCGCTCGATGTGTCGGTGAGACTGAGCAACATTGAGTTATTCTGGGACAAATAGAAACAAAAGATTTGATTATTCAGAGGTATTTTCGTTGATTAAAGAGGAAAATTAATTTTTTTCCTATTTTTCTCTCAAATTTAGTCAATAAAACTACAATTTTTGGGGAAAATTGTAGAATTGACGACTTCTTCACGAACAATTATGATTATAATACGAAGAATGTGATATTAGCATGGGCCAAGCCATTCTCAAAGCGAAAATAAAATCGAAATGAGAATGGGGAGATAATGGCTGAGTAATTTCGACGAGGACTCACCTCTGGAAACTTTTTCCCACAAATGGCGACCAGTGGTCTGTCGTGGACTCGTTGGACGAATCGACGACTGGTCTCAATGGACCATCTCACCTTGCCATCGGGATTTTTGAGAGCTCCATAATCCTCTGGGGGTTTGATGTTGTACAGGCCACAGGGAATCGCCTGAGCTGGCAAATTCGAGAACTTGCGGTGGAGAAAATGCATTGCAGTTGCTGGATATTTGTGGAGAGTTCCATAGTCGTAGAAGAGAACCTGTGAACAGGAATTGATTCAGTTTGTAAATTGACAATGCATTTTTTTAAAAAGAGAATGAAATTAGAATGATGAGAATGAGGAAGAATGCAGAAGATTGTGAATGAAGAAGTATATGAATGAATTATTGAATTCACTTACAGTTGTTGTTGACTCTGCATCAGGCTCGACGGTTTTGACGATTCCCCTGTGCCATTTCCCATAGAATTTGCAGACAACATTCAGCCCCTTCTCAAGAACAATCAGAGGGACATTGTAAGTACTGCCCTTTTGCTCGTAGTACTCTCTGAAATCATTCAATACAGATTATTAATCACCAAGAGAAAATAAAATTTTATTATTATTTCACAAAAGTCAATTAATTGATTTAATGAATTATTTCGTGATTTAGTATTTTTTCTCACAAGATTTAAATCTTTTAATTATTTGACAAGTGAAAAATGTGAAGTTCATTTACGAAAATTTGATTAAAAATAGATATTCTCGAGTTTAAAAATTGTTTTTAGCTTTAATTCCCCTCAAACTCCTCGACATTTACCAAAAATTAACGTCAATCAGTCCCGCTTACAATTCCTCAACCAAATTCCCCAAAATAAGCTGAATTATTCCCTAAAGCCCCATGAATTCAACTCACTGAAGTCTCTCCATCATGGTATCAAGCTTGAGTATCTTCCTCCTCAGATGAATCCAGAAGAACGAGGGAGTGAAAGCATCGCAGACAACGACCTCCTCATACCCCTTGTCCTCCTGATTGAAGCAATCAATGAGAACCTGTCCGATGGTCTCCCCGAGGCGAACAACATCCTCCGGAATGAGTCGATTGATGGTCTCGGGTGAGAGCCCCGCAGGTACAGCCCTGACGTCGTCCTCAGGGTCAGGATAAATCTGATGAATGGCACTGAGGGTCATTTTCACCGGCATGACGGTGCCCTTGTCCTTATTTTTAGCGTCGAAGACCCTGAAGTCCCCAGTGGGACTGGGCTGGACGCAGTAGAAAATATCAGGGAGATGAAGCACGAGGTCGCTGAGGCTGTTGAACCCCAGCTGCTGCCACTCGAGGGTCAAGTTGTACACCTCATGGTATATCTTGGCGAGTTCAGCGCACCAAATGCCCTCCGGGCGGTTCTGAATGAGCTTCTCGAGCCTGAACCTCATCCTCTCGTTGATGATCATCTCGACCTCAGCCTGGGTCCTGGGGTCGTTGACGCCCGGCATGGGGTCCTCCTTCGCTGGATCCTCGCCCTGGGGCCCCGAGGTGATGGCCAATGGTTTCTCGTCCTTCGCAGGCGCCTGGTGCTCCTCGAAATCCCCGAAATAGTCGTCCTCCTCCTCCACCTGGAAGTTCCTCACGACCACTGGGTTCTGGGGCCTCGGGGGCTCCCGGCGGTCCCCCTCCCACGAGATCTCGTTGTGGCGGGCCCTGGCTGCTGCAAACACCATCTGATCGCTGACGACCACCTTTCCCCCGAGGTGAAGCAAAATGTCGTTGAGGTTCTGCATGTCGAAGTACCCCAGCTTCTTCTCCCTCACCTTGTACATCAAATTCGTCCTCGACAGTCCGCCCTGCGATCTCTCGAGAATCTCCAGGGTCTCAGTGCACAGTCGCGAGAAAGTGTCACTCGTTCGTGGAGGGAAGGCACTCTGACTCCTGGGGAAATAGCCCTGCGGAATCCCTCGGGGACCCCTTCCCCGACACGTGGACCTACTCCTCTGGGACTTTTGACTCGTTCTCTGTCTCGCCACTAGTTCACTCAGGTCGCGAGTCTTCTCCGAGCCCAGGAAGTTTATCAAGTTTGTGCCGTCACGGGTGACGATCTGTATCTGCGGAATTGTTCGCAGAAATTCGACTACCGAGGGGTAACCGAGGACTCGGTAGGGGATTCTCTCGCACTCGGAGGATCTGTAGAGCGACTCTAACTTGGGGATTGGAATGTTGTACGCTGGCTTCTCCGTCACGAGAAGGGACACTATCGTCCGCACCACCTCTTCTCGACATCTCGCGTTACTCCCCGCCATTTATTTCGTTGACGTGATCGTCCGGAATGCGGGGCCAACGGAATTCGAGGGGAAAGAGTATTGTTGTCGGGTTTAACGCGACGAGGGACCCGCTGACTGGGAGTTCTTTGTTCTCTGGACGCCACGGACACTCGGAAAAAATGTAAACACTCACCCCGAGGTGGGGTGACGTCAGCCGCGACGGAGAGGGCCCCCTTTGTTCGGGGGACGAATCTCGGCTTTCAGGGGGTAACACTGCACTTCGCGGTTTTTGGGATTAATTTATGCGCGAGGAATTGTGCCCGAGGAGAGCTCCCGCACGTGGATCTGCCGAGCCGGCGGGCTAAACACGCAATTGAAGAATGGGCCGGGGAGGAAGAGGAAGTTGTCGTCGGGGGGGCTCCGGAGCTGGCGAATGAGCGATCGGTTATGCGGCAAAGGGGCCGGGGGGCGGCGGCGGCGGTGCTGATTGGGCAACCTTGAGCCTCGGCGTTCCCGCCAATGGGGGACGTGGGGTGCTGGGGGATTTTTTGGGTTTTGTGGATTTTTTGAAAATGTGAATATGCGGTTTGGCAGAGGGAGGGGGGAATTTTCTGGGTTTGGGAGGGGCAGGGGGTCCTCTGAGGGGAAAGCGAAATGCAGAACTTGTTTGTTCGCCTATTTAATTTATTTTCGTCTATTTTCGGTGAAAAAAATTATTAAACCGGGGAATTAATTATTAATTAGGGAATAATCAGTTGATATTGATAGCGAGGAATGTTTTACCAAGAAATTAGACTTTATTATTTGATATTATGAAGTCTAACGTTTGAAAAGTGCAATTTCAAATTTCGCCATCGCGCAACTCCTCCGCGCACATTCAACATGGCGGCAGGTGACTGGCGGCAAGTGGCGGCTTTGGCGTTCGTCCGCAGTTTTTCGGTGAGAAAAGGGTTAAAACCGGGGAAATAAATAGTAATCACGCAGTAATCAGTCAATATGGATGGCCAGCAACGATTTAATCAAGAAATCAAACTTGATTAACGCAAATTATAAAGCCGAGACCTCTAAAAAGCGCAATGCCAAATTCCACCATTGCGCAGCTCCTCCGCGCACATTCATCATGGCGGCCGGCGACTGGCATCGAGTGGGGGCTTTGGCGTTCGTCCGCAGTTTTTCGGTGAGAAAAGGGTTAAAACCGGGGAAATAAATAGTAATCACGCAATAATCAGTCAATATGGATGGCCAGCAACGATTTAATCAAGAAATCAAACTTGATTAACGCAAATTATAAAGCCGAGACCTCTAAAAAGCGCAATGCCAAATTCCACCATTGCGCAGCTCCTCCGCGCACATTCATCATGGCGGCCGGCGACTGGCATCGAGTGGGGGCTTTGGCGTTCGTCCGCAGTTTTTCGGTGAGAAAAGGGTTAAAACCGGGGAAATAAATAGTAATCACGCAATAATCAGTCAATATGGATGGCCAGCAACGATTTAATCAAGAAATCAAACTTGATTAACGCAAATTATAAAGCCGAGACCTCTAAAAAGCGCAATGCCAAATTCCACCATTGCGCAGCTCCTCCGCGCACATTCATCATGGCGGCCGGCGACTGGCATCGAGTGGGGGCTTTGGCGTTCGTCCGCAGTTTTTCGGTGAGAAAAGGGATAAAACCGGGGAAATAAATAGTAATCACGCAATAATCAGTCAATATAGATGGCAAACAACGATTTTATCAAGAAATCAAACTTGATTAATGCACATTATGAGGCCTAGACCTCAAAAAAGTGCAATGCCAAATTTCGCCACTGCGCAACTCCTCCGCGCACATTCGTGGCGGGTCGGCCTTTGGTACTGAACCGGCGCTTTGACGTTTGCTAATTAATTCTGGAGGAAAAAGAGAATAAAACTGTGCAATAAAACATGGACAATTGAACAATAAGTTAATAATGATGAAGAGCAACGATTTTAAGGAGGCGTTTGGATTAATAGTGATGAATTACAAGTGCTATAGGATAAAACTTAATTCTACGTGATATCGACATATTTGTGACGTCGCAAGATGGCGCCTGCTGTGTAATTCTGGACATGACAATTTTTGGTGTTTTAATTGAAAAGTTATTTCAAAAGTGAAATGAGTGGAGAACGAAGGACTGGACGGATTTTGTGAGTGAATTTGTGGTTGTGAAAGTGTCGAAGTGTTTTCGGAAGTTCCGTTATTGCCGATGTATTGATAAATGCGCGAGATGGGGGTCGGTGTGTAAAATCAGTGACCAGTGTTTTTTGTTTCGGGTGAATATTTCGAGTATTTAAATTTGAAAAATCCCGAGTGAAGTGTGGTGATAAAAAAAACAGTGATAGTGAAGGATGAAAGTGTAAGGACATCTGAACGGGATAATCATGGAATTGTGGGAGTTGGATTGGAGTATATGCCAAGCTGCCGGGTGTTTCAGCGACCGGTGAGTCACTCAAAATATTAATTTCTTTATCCTTGATTGAATATTTCGGTATTTTCAACGGGTTCGTTTTCCAGAAATGTCGAATACATTTGCTGGACTTCTTTTCAGTTCCCTTTTTCTCATTAAGTGGACCGTTTCCCAAAATGCTTGATTATCTTTGAGAGCACCAAAGTATGAAGGAATTCATAAAATTCGAGAGATCCCGCGCCTTCCACTCAACAAACCTTGTTGCGAAAAAATTCGATTTAACCGAAAGTCGACTTTCCCCCCAAAAAAGCCTAAATATGGCACTTTGGCTTGGGGTGGAATTTTTTTTTTTTTTATTTCTGCATTTCTGGGCCAAGTGAGGGTCTCAGGGGTATTAGGCGGGCCAGAAAATACAGATTCAGCGTTCAGCCGGCGGAAAAATTCAATTTTGGCGAAAGTCGACTTTCTCCCCGAAAAAAGCCCAAATACGACCGTTTGACTCGGAGTGGAAAAAAAACATTTTTTATTTCTGCCTTTCTGGGGCAAGTGAGGGGCGCAGTGGCATTAGGCGGGCCAGAAAATACAGATTCTGCGTTCACCCGGTGGAAAAATTCAATTTTGGCGAAAGTCGACTTTCTCCCCGAAAAAAGCCTAAATACGACCGTTTGACTCGGGGTGGAAAAAAAATTTTTTTTTTCTGCCCTTCTGGGGCAAGTGAGGGTCTCAGGGGTATTAAGGCGGGCCAGAAAATACAGATTCTGCGTTCACCCGGTGGAAAAATTCAATTTTGACGAAAGTCGACTTTCTCCCCCAAAAAAGCCTAAATACGACCGTTTGACTCGGGGTGGAAAAAAAATTTTTTTTTTCTGCCTTTCTGGGGCAAGTGAGGGGCTCAGGGGTATTAGGCGGGCCAGAAAATACAGATTCTGCGTTCACCCGGCGGAAAAATTCGATTTTGGCGAAAGTCGACTTTCTCCCCGAAAAAAGCCTAAATACGACCGATTGACTCGGGGTGGAAAAAAAAAATTTTTTATTTCTGCCTTTCTGGGGCAAGTGAGGGGCTCAGGGGTATTAGGCGGGCCAGAAAATACAGATTCTGCGTTCACCCGGCGGAAAAATTCGATTTTGGCGAAAGTCGACTTTCTCCCCGAAAAAAGCCTAAATATGGCACTTTGGCTCCGGGTGAAAAAAAGCCTTTATCATATTCTCCTGCCCGATGGCCAGTTTGATTCAGTTAGTAATTGCGTTTGAAATGAGAATAATCCCGCCACTTTCATCTTGGCGCTGCGGTAAGAATCTCGACGGGTACGACATTCCCTGAAGATATCTCCAATACCGAGTCCTGTTTGACCACCTGATCAGAATCTGCCCCCCCCCCCCCCC